GAACGAGACAATGGAGGTTCTCATAACAAATAGAGGCTTCAGGTCTCAAGTGACTGGGTCGGGGTTGACAGTACTCCGATATAATTTTGATGCTGGTCCTCGAGCTGTATTCAGAGGGGATCCTATTCATTATATGTCGGCATTGCATCAAGAAATGCAATGGTGGAGAGACATCCTAATTCTCTTTGATGAGGATCGTGAGGATGACTTCATCTACTCATATGAGCATAGGTTATATACCTCTGAGGTTGGTGATAGAATCATCAATCTGGAGGATAGAATCTCTGCCCTTGAAGAGTGGGGAAGTACTTTCCTCCGAACTTTAGTTGGAGAGATTGGTGGGGTATTGGCTCCCATGGTATTGGCTGGATTTTTCAGGGTCCTGGGATAGGCTTGATCATAGCATAATTCAGTGCTGTGTCTCATATGTGCTGGGCTGCAAAGTAAAATACTAATTGTAGTTTTGGCATTAGGTGTGACATAAGCTGTTTTCTTTTCAAATGGTCAAGGCTATTTTGGGGATCATTGATTAATCTGTGTGTCAATCTGGATTCTTTAATGTTGAGGTATGAAGTCTCTATGGGTTATGTGGTTCACAGGTAAAAGCATGGTGATTGTTGCATATGGGAATGAATGCATGAACCCAATTCTAAAACTTTGGAGGTCTTCTATTGAGAAACTTTTCAAATGTGTCATTTCTATTATACTATCAGAACAACTAGGTAGTAAATAAAGATAATAACATAGTGCATGTTTTTCAACATTGTCTTATTTCATATAAGGTAAGGCCAGTTTGTTTGATTACTAATAGTGATCTAAAAATATTGACTTCCCTACCCAGTCTGTAGTAAAATCTATCCAAACATATGTACTATAGAAAATGAATAAAATTTTATGATACAAAACACATGAAGTCGGAGAAAGGAATTTTTAATGGCTGCCTTTCACGCTAGGAAGACGGGTATATAGCTATATAGCTGTAATGGCTTAATGAACATTAGACCAAAGATCGAATATTTTGCAGCTAAGGGGTCTTCTTAGAATGGGTTTCATTTCAAATGTAAATTCATTGCGTTTCCAAACAAAGATAATTTTAGAGATCTTGAAATTAGTGAATGTTATTAGGTAAAAACATATAGTAACCAGTTCTTTTTATTTTCAATTTTTTGTTAGGGTTCGGTTGCAAATGACATAATTGAAATCTAGTTTGGTGTATTTTTATCATTTTGATATAAAGCACGTTCAGTGAGATTGCATAATTATGTTATGTGAGGGGGTATTGAGGGCTATGGTGATATTATTTCTCATTTAGATGCATGTTGATTCACAGATTTTCTGTGATTTCAGCTTGATCTCTGAGCATTCTGTTATTGAAATGTTTTATTTGGCTAGTACCAAATAGGTGGAAGAAGTAATATCTTTCTTGATTAATCATTGGTAACCAAGGATAAATACAGCCATAGCTAGAAAATGCTCTACGGATTATTTTATTCTAGTTGGGACAAGCTCAGGGTGGAATATAAGTTAAATAGAGGGTAGGGTTCTGTTTTTAGAAATCTTACTAAAAAGTGGATGGTATACTTTTCTGAAAATAACCATGTTGAGTAATCTGGGAGAAGATATCATACAGTAGTAAAAATTTCGCATTTGATTACAGCTTTCCTATGAATTTAAATAGAAAGAAGTTCTAATTTAAAGATCAATAATTTACATCATTGTTCCTTTTAAATAATGTGGGTCGATGGGAATTTGTTTATTTGGAAGGTATTGTTTAAAATATATAATACGGGTGGTCAGGTTTCTGGGGATAACTAAATTAATAGAGTTTGTTTAAGCCCAAGTAGCGTAGGAATGATTTAGAAGAAAATTTGCATCTTATTGTTGTTAAAATGTATAATTTTGTTCAAGGGATGGATTTTGAGATGATGTTTTCATAATGACAAATATACCTTAAAGATTGTCATTTGCCTCCGTTTGTAGTTACATCACGTGCGACTGTTAGGCCTCTCAAAGTTAGTACAGCTGAACCCTAAAATAAATGAGATAAGCATTCAGATGTTGGTCGTTATGGTAATGAACTGAATTAATTAAGCAGAATCTGTCGTACACTGGATAGACAATTCCCGTTAAATAGAGATCCAAATCTAACAAAAAAAATCACAATTATATATTAATTGTTCAATCAGTTACTAAGTTACTGATTACTTATTCAAAAGCATTGTTTTTAATTAATCCTTGACACGACACTTTTCTCGCATAAGGGTAATTTAAAAGTTATTAAAATATATGAGTTAGTTTGCTATCATTCTGGAATTAATTGTAAGGGAAAGGATCTCTGGTGAATTAAGCGGTTATATGAATCTTAGCATTTAGTAGCATAAGGACTAAGTAAAAGTACACAGCATGGTCATGTTAATAGTGGGGATATGCTTACTGTTAGTTGGAGTTCATTGCTGTTATGTACATGTCTGTTGGAGATGAAAAGGTCAACTGGTCAAAGCCTCTAGACTAGAGTTGTTATAGTAACGAGAAATTGGATAAATTATGCAGGAATTTCAGGCAAACATGTTTGATGCTAGGTTTATCACACAGTAGGCTATCTGATAACTGACCTCTTCCAATTAGTAAAGCAGTCTGGGTTTTTGGGAAGTCAAATTAACAGAACAATTATTGCCATTCTACCAAATTCTATCTAACTACATATTAGACCAATACATACCCGTTGCATTCCTTCCGTTTGATAGTGAAACTAATGTTAACCAAAGATCTATATCTCTTAAACTGATGTCCATGATTTTTTCTAACAGAGTACATTTGCATGTGTAGTTAATAATTCCCAGAGTATGGAAATCGGCGATTCGCAAATATGAATCCTGGTTATGAATGACTCTTCAAGAATTATGTTATTACTAAAATATAAAAGTCTTAGGGTCACCCCTCCTTTTAAAGCTCTAGTAAAGTAACGGGGTGCTAATGTAAGAGGCGAATAGGCCTTCATAAAATAGAAAATAATTTATAAATAAAAAGAGAGATCTAAGGAACAGATTATCATCAATTCTATGCGAAACGCTAATATGTTTCCATTGAACTTGATATTTACAGGTATGGCTAAAAGTGTGCGATAACGCTAACATGTTTCCACATTGTTTTGTCTTTTAATTACTCAAGGAGTGATTTTAAGCGTTCGATGTTTAATTTCTTTTGTCTATATGTTCTAATTGCAGGCATAATGATGGAAGTATATTTTGATTTCTCTGATGAGGTTTCAATACTCCAGACAGATCACCCAAGTCTTCAAAACTGAGGGACTATTACAACTAAAAGTAAAGTATGACATTGAGAATGATGTGCACTTCAAAAAGTCAAACCGGGTAAATTTGAAAGGGTTCCCATGCAATAGATTTAGAGAAATTTGTCAGGTTTTTGAAAGTTATAAAAGATTTCGTTGTCACAATTTGTTTGAAATATTAGATTTATGGTTGTATTTAGGTTTAACAGAAGAAGTTTTAATTGAATAGTTAGCCTTTTATGAGTTTGATCATTTATTGGAAAATTTAGGTACATTCTATAAACTAATCAAAATTGGTTTTGTAAGGGCTGCTAATGATATCATAATGGATGCTAGAGTGCCAGAATATCTGTTACAAACCGCGGCTACTTTAAGCTTTAAGAAATTTAAGAAGCATTTCTTAAACACCAAATACAAAGTGAATAAAAATTTTGTAAAATATTACTGTGGAAGATGTTTGTGTATCAAATGTCAGAAATTTCGTCATGATAGAATGGTTCAATTAATGGATGGAAATTATTCAACACCTTATTTTGGAGCCCTGTCAAATTCTCCATTAAAAAATGTTAGGAATAAATAAATCAATCAGTAATTATCAGATGTATCAAAGAAATACTGCATGTGCATTGGATATGTTCGGGATATTGGCAATATGTTTAGTTAAGCTAAATAATGCATTGAAAATTTTGTTTCATTAAAATATTAGCCTAGAAATAAACATGTTTAAAGATAAAAGATATCATGTCCATTCTATGGTTTATTAAAAATTATTAATGATTTGGTGGGGGAACTTTTCAACTCAAGCCTGCCTTTTGCTGTTTTTTTTAGATGATTGACAGAATAAACGATGCCTCAAATAATTGGTTCTTGTATAATATTAAGCTATGTACCATTAGAGTAAGAGGTGACTTCGCTATAATCAAATCATGCTGTATGCGTGATTAGAAGTACCTTTTTATTCTATTGAAGGTATAATTAAAAATAAAAAATTATTACGTATGGTGAGAGTAGTGTGAAACTACAAATATTAAACAAATCTGCTATCAAAGTCGTAGTATGATCAGATCCGTTATAATCAACTAATTCTTTAAGAGTTAGAAGGACTGGTTATGAGAAAACGACAAAGTAGAAAATCACCAAAATAAGAATTAATATTTGAGGTAATAAAGTGAAAATTTAAAAGGAGGAATTTGATAATTTAAATACAATCTTTAAGTTCGAATTTATTCTTCTAAGTTGTTCTGAAATGCTCAATATAATCAAATGATACGGCATGTGTCATCCGAGGATGTCAGAATAAATGTTAAAAGAATTAAAATATTTTATAAAATGGCAGGTGGAAATTGAAATGTTCAGGGTTAAATTGATAATTAGAATTATAAAAAAATGACTTTGGAATGGGTATTTTAAAGATAAAGTTAATTAAAAGAAAAATTTTAAGGAAAAGTTGGCATATTTAAAATGAAATAGAAATTGATAATGCAAAATAAATTGGTTTTGGATATGTATTCATGTAAAGAAATTATAAATAGATGCGTATGCGTGTTTCTTTGATTAAAACTGTTAGTTATTAAATTCGGAAAGATATTATTTGAATTTGTCAGGGTTATTCAATTGGGAAATAACATAATTAGACAAAATTAGAGAGGAAATGGATTATTGTTTATGTTTATGTTGAGATTATTGCAAGTAATAAGTACATATGTGTCTACGTGATTATAAGTACGGGAGATTAATCTAGTAGTTTAATCTGAGATCTCACACTGAAGTGTCCATTGTATCTCAAAAGCAGTCCTATTCTAGTTCTTAAATTTCCATATGTCCATTTGAAGAGTACAGGACGGAAGTGTCCTGTTCAATTGATCTTGTATTACATTTCTGGTAAATCTTGTAGGTCAAATACAGCAAAATCCCAACGCATAATAGAGAGCCGATAGTTAGGGTAATGCTATAATACAAAAATGAGGGTGATTAGGGTATAATAAGAACAACTTAAAACTCAATAAATGCATGATTTCGAAAAAAAATTAAAGAAGGTAGTGTTTAACTAGTGGTAGTTAACGATTTAGGTGCCAAGTGATACTTACAAGTAATGGTGAATTGTTTGAGGTTCAGAAATGTCGGTGACACTGGTAGTACTGGCTGGAAGGGTATTCACGTAATATGTGGACGTTGAAATTAAGTCAGTTTGAGAGTCAGTGGTAGCTTGTGGTAGTGATGGACTGTTTGTGATTTCGCTGATTTCAGTGGTAATCAGAGGAGTTGGTTGAATAGAAGACGTTGTGTACTGTTTATGGATCTGGCTAGTCCTTGCAAAAGTATTAGTTGTGGCCATAACGGAACCTATTGTTGAGCGTGGAACAGGGAGATGGGTAATTGAATCTTGAGTTAAAACTGGTTTAACAGTGAATTTCGACTCCAAAGTTTGTTTATATTCGAACATATCCAGTGTGGGAACTAGTTCTGTTAGAGGCGTAGATTTTCTGTTTTCGGGTCCAAGGGTTGTTTTATCAGTGTGAGGGATAGATACAGGATTGACCGTGGGAGATTCCCTATAAATGAGAGTTTAGAAGGGTATTACTTGAGTATTAGTAACAGGATAAAATAAATGAAATTAATTAAATCAAAGGTCAAAGTCACATTTTTTGAATTAAAGTTCAGATTAGTTTTTAAAAAAAAGTACAAATGAATAAAAAGGTTTTATAAAAATATTTCTTACCAGCAGTAAATCTTTATGTTATTGTGACAATAACATGACAGTGGACATGTTTCTCCCGGGATAATAGATACAAATCCAAGAATAATCCATAGCAGTTTCATTTTGATGTTAAGGTTTAGCGGTTTGCTTTGTGAATGATAATAAGTTAAAAAAGAAATAGGCAACTGATAGCTCTGGGAATTTTTGCTGAATTGACAAGGAACAATAATGAAATCAGGTTGAATTAATGGGAATTACTTAAAACTTTATAAAAAATGGGCAGAAGTTATCAACACCAGTTAAAAATTTTATTAGGGGGAACGAATAATAACAAAGCTTGAGTTATTTATGGGCTTGATATATGTAGCCTGGTGGTCAATGGGTCTATTTACAAAATTACATGAGTGTACATGGTGTACTTGGCGTGATTTAAAATTATGTTGCATGGGAATGAAAATGTTCTTGGGTAAAACATTTTATTCACTCATTTTATTTCTGAAAAAATGGTATTTATAGAGTATTAATTTGGATAGAGTAAACTGCTTACATGTTTGTTTTGAATTTTGTTTATTTGCAGATACAAAAGATGAATTCCGTTATGTTTCTGATGTTCTGGGTAGTTGCACTCGGCCACGCCACAGATATGATCTTAAATGAGGAATATCAGGTCGCGTTTCAGCCGCTTCACACGCTGGATCTAAGTAAACATGTATTTAAATATATGTTGGGTATTAGGTGGCCGGTTAAGCTTGATAAATTTGATTTCCCAGAATTGGAATGCTCCCGTTCAGAATCTGGCCCCCTAAGATTAAGTGAAACTGGTCCCGATGTAAAAATGCGAATAGAAACATGTGAATTGGCCAAATCATATTCTTTAGTTTTAAAGTCAGATATTCAGGAATTGGAAAACAAATTATTGGAGTTAACCAATAATGTGAAAGTCTCTTTGCCAGGCATTTCTTCTATGAAAAGACAAAAACGGAATATTATGGGTAATTTATTTGGACCTATTTATAATTTCATGGGATTAGTATCAACTAAGGATATAGAAACTATTGAAAGTCAAATAAAGGTTTTGGAAAATGGCCAATCAAAATTATATGATAGCGGAAATCAATTACGAAAAGGAATTTTATCTCTTGGAAATTTGACAGATTCGAGAATTAATAATTTATTACAAACAATGAGCCATAATCAGGAGAATATTAAAATAGCATTTTCAAATGTTTCTATGGCTTTAGATGATGTAGAATATAGAATTACAGAGGTGACAAGTCATTTGGTTCAACTAAGAAATTTAGTTAATTTTATTGCTAGGGCTATTCATATGCAAACACGGATAATAAGTCAAATTGAAATGACCTATACAAGTCTTTTGTCAGGGATAGATGACATACAAAGAGGAAATCTTCCTTATGTGTTAATTCCACCCAATCAATTAGAGGATATAAAAAATACAGTTACAGAAGTATTACATGATCGTTTGGGGGAAGAATATGAGTTAACATTTAATAATACTTTAAAGTTTTACAAGTTTGTAAAGGTAATAGGGACATGGACAGATAAAGCTTTATATGTCATTATTGATATACCTTTTCATCGAAAAAATGGCGAATTTTTATTATATGCTGTCCATTCCCAAGAAATGGAAATTGGAGAGTCCTCTAAAGCTACGGTGATAAGAAAGTTGCCAAGTTATTTGGCGATTGGTAAGGATCATTACGTAACATTATCTGATGAGGAATATTTATCATGTGATAAGAAACATTGTCATAGGCCATTGGTTCCCTTAATAATTAATGAAAGGGAATGCATTTTAAATCTATTCAATAAAAAACAAGGGCTAGCAGCAAAAAGTTGTAAATTTGATGTTATTATAAAGAAACTAGACGATCATGTCAGAATTATCGATCAATACGTATTCCTTTCGAATGTAAGTGGAAATCTGACCATGAAGTGCACAGAAGGAATGTCTAGGTTGTGTGAAGAAAAATTGTGCATCAAAGTTTTACCTTGCAATTGTTTTATTGATTGGAATGGTGATAAAATTTATTTCCATCCAGAAGCTTGTACCCTGAAAATGATAAGGGATCCTCCGAGAAAGAATGCGGCATTTTTAATAAATTATCATGCAAACATTATTGATTGGGAAAATGCAGGAAATACATTAGAAGGTCTAAAGTATCCACATTTGAATGAATTGGAATTAGTTAATCCAGAGGTAGTAGATAATCAGGAAAGGATTCAGTTAGAGAAAGTAATTGACAATATTAAAAGGCAAAGGTCGTGGTTTGTGAAACCTGATTATAACTTATTTACATTTGGGAAATTGCAAACTGGCTGGGTAGAATTTTTACAGTGTATTCTGTTAATGATATTAGTAGTTGCAATGATTGTCTTATTCATTTTGACATATAAGTACAGGAGAGTTATATTAAGATTGGGTAAGGTTATGGTGAGTAAGCAGTTAGTTAAGAAGTAATCATCGGTAATGGTGAAGGAGACACATGCGAGCTGCTAATATGGTTCCATGAGTTGGTTCTGACTTGGTTTTTTTTTCTATCTGGGTGATAAGTAAGTTATTAGTAAAATGAAAAGGAAAGAATTAGTATAAATTTACATATGGAATTATGTATACTTACCTCTTAAAATATGGACCCAATAGAGATAAAATTCTATCACGTGCTGAATCACCGCCATGTTAATTGGAAAATTCCCGGTTCTTTGTTATCATCAAAATGTCCACATGTTTCTAGGTGAAATTTCCTCCTGTATTATGCAGATGTTCTAATCCTTGATGTCCAGTAAAGAATATTTCGGATGTTTTGGTGGCTACCAAATAAGTGTTCGATGAATTTCTTTATCTAATTGATTATATATGTAGTTCTCTGTGATTCCTCTAATAAACATGAAGTTTTGTCTATCATACATTTGTATGGGGGTATCTTTAGCATGTTTGGAAGGGGTAGAGAGAGCAATCTTTTGGCGCTTGTGATTGGTTGGTTAAGGAAGGGGGTGGAGTTTGGTATATACCCAGTTGCAACATTTTTTTATGAGTGACAGTTCAGACGAGAGGAGACGTTTTAACAACTGGGTTGATTTTTATGTTGTTTTTTTTCTGAAAATTCAAGGTGAGTGATTAGAGAGATACTGCGATATATACAGCGATTTTATAGTTATTACTCAATATAATCTCATATATTCATTTATTTACTCAATATTATTTCATATACTCAATATTATACTCATCTATATACTCACTATTATTTAGTATACTCAAGATTTAAAAAAAAAAAGGTTCAATATTATGTTCATTAAGAATTGAGCCGATGGGTTAAGAATCTAAAAATGTTCAGTGACAGTGACCTCTTTATATTTAATTACACGTTTCCTTGTTGGCTGAAGAATTCAAATTGTAAGTGTCAGTTGAATGTTCATTTTCACTAGTGACATCTATAAATTCTGAAACGTTGTATTTATATTTCATTCACTGGGGGTTGTTAATTTAGAATTTCATTTCATTTCAATAGTGACATCTATAAATTCATTTAGGGACAATCAAAATTTGGATTCATATATATTTTGTATTTTAATGGTTACGAGAGAGTGTGACAGAAGTCAACTGGCACAGTGACTGTCTGGGGGTGAGAACGGTCCCTTAGGTCACAGGAATCTTAAAAGGAAGTTAACTGGCACAGTGATCTTCCCGATTCTTGGTGACAAGCTGCAACCATAGAGACTTTTTAAATGAAGAATTCTACAGTGATCTCTACAAACATTCTACAAACAAATTAGGACCTTTCACAAACTACGAACATTCTACAAACATTTGATTATATGAAGTTAAAATTGATATTATAATGAAGGATTCATCAGACAATAAGTGACTTGGGATGCTGCACCTGTATTATATAATTAACTTCGGTTAATTATGGACTTTAATTAATGAACGTTTAATGAATCAAGTTTAAAATAATCTATAGAGTTGATGTACTTTAAATACTTTATTTAAAGATATATTGAATATTGAATTCTCGAATCAAAAATATGTAAATATTATAAAAATGTACTTGTATAGCTATGCATGTATGTATGGATGTATGTAGGTGTGTGTGTATGTATGTATGTGGGTATGTTGTTGTGTGAGTTTGAATGAAGTTTAGTTGACCTGTCATGATTAAGTAATTTAATTAAAAAACCATTGTATTGATTTGAACTTGAATTGAACTCGAATTGTATTAAGACAGTGTTTAGATATATTTATCTGGTTCTGTGGAATAAGAAATTATAGAATAATGTATATCATAATTGAAATGGTCTATTGAAATTGAATATTGTTTAGAAATATTACATTTAAATTTGGAGAAATATTGATTGTACTTTATTTGTCTGTCTGGTATTTCATTTTTTAAGTTATGCTATTCTTCTGTGAAGCAAGGGAAGAGTGTTACAGACAGACAAAATACCTTTTTGTTAGGAATTTTATATGATATTTTATTACATACAGTTTGAGTTGTTTTTACATTTATACTTTCATTTGAGTGATACATATGTTGTTGATATTGGTTAATTGGATCCTGCCAGTATTTTTGGAACTTATCTGGAACTTATTTTAAGGACAAGATGTTTGGAACAAAGAAGGTTCATACCTTATGCCAAAAGTAGTCCTGTATTTCCAGAAGTCCTTGAGATAAGTTCCAGGAAATATCTTGGCAAGAACAAAGAAGATGCTCATTTGGCAGGAACTATATTTTGGAGAGTAGTTATATATGGTAGTGTGATTGGATAGTATAAAAGAGTTTGGGTGTGTCCGTGTTGGGTTGTCTGGTTGATTGCTGTATGCTGTATGCTGTATGCTGTATGCCCGTAGGATTGCTGTCTGATGTGCTGATCTTTGTATTATAGAATAAAATCATTATAACCAACTAGATTTGTCGTGTAACACTTTATATTCCTGTAACCACGCCTGTTACCCAAGGGACAACGACAGTAACAGACAGTGTCCGGGGTGTACCAAGATCAGGGAAGGATGAACGGTAAGTCATTCACAAAGCCTGTACTGAATTCGAATCACGTCCTAGTCAGAATAAACTTCGCTTTCTTGGCTAAACTAAAATTCAAACAACTTATTTTATAGGCGAGGCCATGATGGAACATAAGAAAAGATTGTGGGCGGGCCCAAATCCATTAAGAACCGCAAGGGAAAGCATAACAGGTGCAGCCGTAGATTGTACTGGAGGTAAGATATAGTTGAACAATTCGATTAGAAAAAGTTTGCTTAAGTATTGCGTTGCGCGGTTCTAGTCAGAATGTATTTTATAGCCAAGATCAATTTGAATACATTGGATTGTCACCATAATTTAGGCTATGCCAGTGGGTTCCGATGCCAGAATGTGAATTTACAGTCCTTCCTTAGTCTCCAGGATTTAGCTGGGAGTGGTAACACTGACGGGTAAGCCTTGTTTACATGTGATGTCACTAACAAACTGACATCTATTTTTAATGATAATATACCATTTAAAACTAAAATTTCAAAATCAAATGATATGCCATGGTTCGATAACGAAATTAAGATGGAGTTAAACAAAAGAGATAAATTATATAAAAAGTTCAAACGAAATAATACAGAAATAAATAAAACAAACTACAAGGACCAAGTAAAAATTGTAGAACAAAACTACAAACTAAAATCATATGGTTTTGGTGCTGACACTTTGAATCTCATAAGCTCATATCTTAAAAATCGAAAAGTTCAAACTAGAGTAAACGGAATCTTATCAAATTTATCAGAAGACAATTACATAAACAGCGGGGTGCCTCAAGGGAGCCAAATTGGGCCGATCCTTTTCTTATTATACATAAATGATTTACCGGAAGTAATTGACTCAACATCTTACATCTATGCAGACGACACCTCCATTTATTTACCTGTACCCAGAGATCATCCAATTCAGAACACTCACGAAATCCTCCAAAAAGATCTTGACAATATTTTTAAATGGTCACAAACTTGGAAAATGAACTTCAAGCCTTCAAAATCAAAAGAAATAATATTTTGTAAAGAAACCGTCTTTGATAGGCCATATCCAATTTTGACACTTAATAACAATTCAATTGACCGAGTCGATTCACATAAACATTTAGGCGTAACTCTTGATAAAAACTTAAACTTTAAAACTCATATAAACGAAGTCCGAGCAAAAATTGACAAACTACTAAATCCCCTATCAGCATAGAAAATGAGAGTAAACTCAAAACATCTTGAAACAATGTACACTTCTTTCATCCTCTCTAAAATCGAATACGGCTCTTTAATCTATGGTTCGGCGTCACAAGGTGCTCTGGAACAACTAGACAAACTCCATTACAGAGCAGCCCTGATAGTTTCCGGGGCGATTTATGGTACGTGCAAGCAAAAATTATATAAATGTTTAAACTGGAAAACCCTAGCGGAGAGAAGAGAAGAAAAACAAAGTATTCACATGTTCAAAGTCCGATCAAATTTGACCCCCTCTTATGTAGTCTCTATATATGAAAAACTGTCCAATCCTGGTGCCGAAAGGGAGCTCCGCTCCAGAAGAGAATATGTTTTACCAGTGAGAGCGTCTGTGAAATACCTAAATTCACCAGCCATAAAGCCTATCTCCATTTGGAAAAATCTTTCAACTGAAATAAAAACATCGCCAACCCTAGCAATCTTCAAGAAAAACTATAATAAGAATTATACATTTCATAAAAAGAATATTTTAACAAAAAATCTTAATTTGAAAAGGTCTTCTGAAACTAAACTTAATAAAATAAGAAGCGACCTTGCCCTTAAAAGTGACTTTTTTAGACATAATTTCAACAACATCATAGATCCTTCTTGCCCCTGCGGCCACCGAAATCAAGATAAGATTCATCTTTTACTCGACTGCCCTCTAACCGCCATACATAGAAATGATTACATACAGAACATCCTAAAGTTAGACAATCTTGATATTATGTGCTATTTTGGAAAAACCAGAAAGCAAAAAATAGAATTTATACTTTATGGAGATGAAAATTTAAAAAGTGAACTGAATACAAAATGCCTTCAACTATCTTCAAATTATATCGATAACATCTTAGAATGACCATCCTCCTCATTTCACATCATCTCTCATTAACACTCATATACATCATCATTGGCAAGACCTGGTGGACGACCGTCTGTCCGTTGCAATCCTACACACTCCAGTGATTTATTATATGTTTTTAACTTTCTAGAGGGGGGCCAATAATGCTATGTAGCCTCGGCCCCTCACAATCTATGTAAATAATTATGTTGAATATTATAGAAATAAATAACAATAACCTAAAAAAAAAAAAATGTGATGTACGTGTTTTAATGAAGTAGAGTATTTTCTCAATTATTTCAGGCAAGCGTTTCTCTCGTATATTTCTATCATAGACAGCTGTACGGGTGTTCGTCAAAGGTATTTTTCTGGAACCATTCAGATGGTATTTTTATATATTTTCCTGTACAATTATTGTGAGATAATTGTCTTGCCTTGCAATGCCCATGTTACCTTTTAAATATAAAAGTTTGATGATTTAACGTATAGACCCAGCGAAAGAGGAAACGACTTATGGGGCTGGACTGATCCGACCAATAACGATGAGTACGTGATCATGGGACTGGATGATGGTACTTCCTTCGTCAGGATAACGGATCCCGTGAATCCTGTTGTTGTTGCGTTCCTCCCAACTGCCACGGTCCCCAGTCAGTGGCGAGATATGAAGGTCGTCAATGATCACGCTTACATCGTCTCCGAGGCCGTCGGACACGGTATGCAGGTAAGTAAAACACGGACTGTACAATGCATTGTGCCAAGTCATCATCAAGGCCTTGTGCGTACGATGTGCAAAATCTCTTCTCTTTTCTATCCCATCGTTTACGTAGCATTTTATCTTGCAATGGAGTCTACAAGGGAGTCATTGCTTCATTTGAGGTATTACCGCTCATTTGAAAATTATGGTTCCAAAGCAGTGACAGTACTAGTTGAATTGATCCATTGAGTTTGAAGTCTTTGTTAATCCGTAAGTTTGCTTGTATGTCTATAAATTGTTCAAGGATACATTTAACTTTAGAGAGCATCGACCGGGATATCGACTTTTGCGCCAATGTTTTCCAAAGGATCAACTTAATGTACTTCTGCAACATCATCTCGATCGACCTACCACAATCTATCTTTTCTCTTTTTGCAATAAGTCCTACATAGTAGCCTTAATGGTACAGGGCCCCGGACAGGGCCTTTAACTACGAGTATTTTCCTCATAATAACTGGTGTCATGCAAGGCTTTAAATTTCAGTTCTTTGGTGTTTTATATGTTATATTAAGGTGTTCGATTTGACAAGATTACGAGGACAAACAGACATGGGAGATGTCGAGGTAGATTTCCATTACACTGAAATCGGCAACACTCATAACATAGTCTCCAACCCTGCAAGTAATACTGTGTTCCTTGTGGGATCGACCGATGATTCACAAGCTTGTCTAGGTATGTCTGAGGGTCGTCCAAAAACTCGTTTTATATTGAAGTTATATCTGACAAATTTATTGTGATTCGATGAACATTAAGGTTTAGTTTCGGGTCTTGCACCAAATCTCCACCAACTACCTATAACCAACGTTTGTTATGGCAAATAGTAACTGCCACATTTTCAGTTATATGGCAAAATATGCACACGCTTCCTTGGCAAATACCTAATACTATTGCTTTATGTGAACAATTAAAATTATAGCCGGGCTTCACATGGTTGACGTAAGCAGCCCAAAGAACCCGCTATTTGCCGGGTGTTACTGGGAGGATGGGTACACGCACGATGCTCAGTGTCACATCTATAACGGCCCTGATACCGACTATGTAGGGAGAGAGATCTGTTACAACTATAATGAAGACCAGTTGACGATAGTTGATGTTACATCAAAAGCGAATCCCGTGACGATATCTACATCTGGTTATCCACTGGCAACGTACACTCATCAGGTATAGGTGCAATCGTTTATTATTCTACACGACGGTAACTTGGGAAAGGAGTCGAAGGTATATGACCAAAACACTTGCCAAGCATCATTATAAACCATGACATCTGATTTCTTCTCAGCCCTGAGATGCATGTTGGCAGGAGAAACAGAAAGATGCTATGAGTAATTGAGAAACTCCTGTACATTGTTCATACTCCAACTCCTTCGCTTCGCTGACATATTCTCATTGTAACATGATGTTCATAATCAAATTGGGGAACATTGACTTTTGGAGGTTTGGTTGTATTTTCTGCGCAAGCAAATTCAGTTCTATGTACAACTAGTAGCCCATACCACAAGTCTTTACAAAATATTAAAGAAATAAATCTCCATCTGGTTTGAAAGTATTGCGGCACCAGCAAGGGTGGTAAAATATTGTTATAGCCACTGTTTTTGTTATGTCATTTTGTGTCGGATTGTGTCCGACAAACACTTTTGTAATCATTACGTTAATGCATTATTCGTGGATGACATGCAGGGATGGATAACTGAGGACCACACAATGATCCTTCTTGACGATGAACTCGATGAGAGGGATACATTCTTGGATGGGTAAGGGCGCAATACTGGTTCTGATGCTACCATGTTCAATTTTGACTGAGTGGTCCGCAACTCGCACAAAAAGGCTGTGGTGTGTACTTATATGTCTATGTATAAGTGCACATAAAAGAACACAGGGCTCCTTCAAGGAGGGGTTTCTGGGTCTATCTGCCATGTTAATTACGTAAATTACGACCGTATATATACGGGACATACCCAAGAGGTATTGCTCACCTTCATTGGTGGTAAACAAAATACATTACAATAAAATGGACTTGTTTTATTTGTTTCCTTATTTGGTTTTAATTCCCTAAATTATCATTGACTTTTGGAGTCTCTATCATTGTAACTTGAAGTTCTCATTTAATAGAACTCTCGCCGTTTTAATAATGCTAGTATTTTTATACCTGTATAACGCTGAATGGCTAACATTCATAACCTACACAGGTAAATATGCTGTGCGAAATGGGACATCCGGTTTCTAAACCTTCGGAGGGGAGTGTATATATACATTTTTGAATTTAGTCAGGATCGCCAAAATCTTGAGCAGTTTTGATTGAATTATGGTACATAGGGGAAATCGCAACACTAGTTACACAACTTGTGGAACACTCCGTATGCCATGACTTGCCACCAATCACATTGATTGACCAATGAAATGCTTGTTTATTTCAGGAATACGGTCACTTACTTGTGGGACGTGCGTGACTTGGATAACCCTGTGATAGTTGGCGACTACACTGCAGCCCACGAAGCCATAGACCATAACCAATACATCAGAGGCTCGAGGGTGTACCAGGCAAATTATGAGGTCGGATTGAGGATACTCGAGATCGACCAGGTATCATTAGGGAAAGATGTTTTCCTTGGGAAATAACGTTGAGTCCGTGCTCCCGTTCTTTCTTAAGTCAGAACATACTGAATAATCTTAAATAAGCTTAAAATCTAAACATATGTTTGGCGATTACAAGGTCAATTCATGATCATTTTCCACATATTTTAATCGCAAAGCTCAATTCACGATCATTTTCAACGTATTTCTTCGATGTATGTTCAACTCTTGATCTTTTTCAACGTATTTTAATTGAGGAGTTCAACTCAACTCATGATCATTTTCAGCGTATTTAAATCGAGTTCAACTCATGATCATTTTCAACGTATTTTAATCGAGGAGTTCAATTCATGATCATTTCAACTTATTTTATTCGAGGAGTTAAACTCCTGACCATTTCAACGTATTTTAGTCGAGGAGTTTAACTCATGATCATTTCAACGTATTTTAATCGAGGATTTCAACTCATGATCATTTTAACGCAAAAAATTTTAATCGAGGGGTACGACTCATTAAACCATGAAAGTACACCATGACACATTAGCAGGCTTTAATGCTCCACGATTTAATAAAGATTCGTCATTTAAAGTCACTTTACTTTTCAACCTCAACTCAAACATGAACATGTTTTCACGCGCTATCAAATGAGAGCTGGGTTCGATAATTTCGGAGGGGTTGGTTTAATATGTAATATACCTACTTCAGGCAACGCCAAGTTTGACCGAAATAGGCTACTTTGATGTTGACGATACCTCTACTGGCGGAACGATGGAGTTCCAGGGTGCTTGGACTGGTTATCCTTATTTTGCATCAGGTACGCATGCGCAAGTAATCGTATGTAAAGCTGGTAATAATATTCAAAGGGTCATGCAAGGGATCCTAGGCGCCCTACACTATTTTTATACATCCAGATAAATGTTCAAATAGACCAATCTCAAGTAAATCGTACCAACTGGGCCTATTTTTATCATTATTGGTTTTCAAAAATTTCTTACAACTTGTACCTAATCTAAATGAAGGTTTTACGTATCGTATGCCTCTTTGCAGTTGCCTAAACTGTTGATTTTAGGTAATGTGCCCGTATCATCTATCGGATATGGTCTATTTATTGTGAGGCCTGATAGCATGGCGATGACAGAGACATACCAGGCAGGACTAAACGGGACAGAGCAAAGAGAGAGGCAGTTGGTTGCAGGGGACCCGTCCTCTTGTGTTGCCGTCAAAGAAACAAGATATTGCAAGGCATCTTGTCATTAATAATGACTGTAAAACACTATTTTGTTGTTCAACATTTATAATCAATAAAAAAGTCTGTGAAAAAAACAGATCAGATTCGTTGTTTTCCATCCTGGAATAATGAATAGGCCTACATAAGCCTAAAATATTATAGAATTATCCCAGTTTAGTTCGCGAGACGTCAGAATGAATTCCTAGTCACTTGTAACTACGGCATGTTAGTGTTATATTGCCACTTTTAAGCGTTCGGTTTACGTAATAAAAGTGAGGAACTATATCGGTTATTCTGGTGTCTCGAGTACTATTCGCCCGGACTATTTGTTCGCAAACGCTTCCAATCGCTGCCAAAAAGGTCGTGTGTTTGTGACACTTGAGAGGTTAAGCTAACGATGTTTTTCACAACGTAACCGTGAACGCAAAGGTACAAAAATTAACAAAGGAATGTATCGAGCGCTCATAGTTTTATGCGCGCTTAGTCTACTTCAGATACTCTTTCAGCTTCAGAGTTTCGGGTTTAGAACGGGAGATTTGAAATTTTTACGTTGGGTCAACGGGAACCATTTTACTCGTGTCTATTGAACACTATGCTGTCAATTTTGATTTCGATGCACAGTTGAATTCTTGCTGAACACGATGATGTATGTCATGCATGATTTAGCGCCAAGAATCTTACGAAACGAGCTCGTTTAAAATATGTATTAGAAAACCAGCTATAAAACCGCATCAATGACATACTATAGAATCATTACACGCTATGGTGTAGTCTAAACAAACACTGGATTTGAACGGCTATTTATATGAGAAGGCTACATGAATTTGTATATTGTCGAGTGATACGTACAGGTTCAGTTTCGATTACATATGCAAAGCTTAACCTCTCCATTATTATGTTCAACCCGGAATGACTGAAATGATTTGTATACAAGGTGTGGTCTTTTTTACATTGTTTCATTGTTGAATAATAGAATAACTATTACGCAATGGCCAAAAATCGACTAGGGACCATCTCATACATCTCATTTAACCCTTGACATGTCCACTATTTTTACACATAGAGCAAATCACACACAGAGATGTGCTCATCTCTCCATGTCACGCATCGTTCTTTGAGTCATCTGCGGGTTTCGGGGTGGTGAACATTTTCTTGAGATAGCCCCAAAGGGAAATGAATACAGGCCAGGAAATGTGACTTTTGCAATGTCTAAAACTTGGTCCAAGCCCAATTTCGGCCCGCTGTGCAAAAGGAATGATTATTCGGCCAACCGAAAAAATGGCCATTGTGTAAAAGGAATGATTGTTCAACTATGAAACAATGTAAAAAAGACCACTCCTTGTATATAAATGAAATTGATTTATGCCGTCACATTTTAGATAAGCTTAGGCCTACGCATTGTATGGTATAAAACATATAACATTATTTTTTTCATGAAATGTTCATCGTTAATTTTCAAATCTGACTGTTTACTTCTGTTCACATTTAAAGTTCTCCAAGGCATTTTGTCAATGGGGCGCCGAAGTGTTACGATTGGAAGGTGTGAGCCAGTCTACAAGAGTTGACTGTGGTTAAAGGGGCAACAAGACCTGTTAGGATTGAGCGAAATTGTGCAGATCCCCGGGTTAACCTCCCCCCCGGTTCAACCAGCATACGCCCTCCGTAGTTCAACACGTGTTTATCACTTGAGGCGTCTAAGGGTATGGAAACTTAGAACTCTCGTATGCTATATATAATACTATATTTATTCAGATTAGCAAAATAGCATAGTTGCTAATTTAAATGCTTCTCAATTACATGATACAAATATAAATACAGAATTTAAATACATGCAGTTACAATAAAGAAAAAAACAAACATATTACAATGTACTTGGGTAGAGAGGACATCTCAGGTTACACAAAAAATTAAAATCTCTTTGTACTTTTTATGAATTTGTGTAGTGCCAAAATCAAACGTTCGTTATCATCAACTGTTAAAAATTTGTTCCCAAAGAGAATTGTGTCTTTGATAACATTTGGTATATATCGGGATTGTTAGCACATACCTCATTTAATGTATAAAGCATATCGTTTCGTTGATCTGTAAAGTTTGGACATATCAGTAGGTAATGAAAGATTGTTTCATTTTGGATTCCACACGAGCAGTTGGGAGAATTTACCTTCTCCATTTTGAACAAATAGGAATTGAGAAGGGTGTGGCCGAGTCTCATACGTGCATGTTGGATATTTGAGAAACGATCTCCGATGTTATATCATTTTATAAGATACTTTCCTTTAAGTTCTCAGTAAATATACTTGGATAGTTCAAGTTTACATTTCGTAAAGTTGATTTAACGTATGCTATGGTCTTTCAAATGATTTTGTACTGTATATAATGGACCTTTGGTTCAATGGTCACGGACCCGGTCACGGATTGTGTTCGGATTGCGTTCCCGGTTGTGAAAGAAATTATGGCCCCCAGGGATTATAGTCCCCCTTCTTAACGGCCCTTACTGTCCCTGATTGTGTATAAGATGATAAGGGAAAGAGGTCACCATATAAATCAATGAGGAGTAGGACAATACCCTGATACTCCTACCCTTTTACACCGGGATTGCGTTTCGAAAATCTAAATGCCCGGATGAGCTTTTAGCTCTTCAATTTGAAGGTAATATAAAAGTGCAAAACGTCGATATTTTTAAATCGGTAGGTTCTCACTTTTCATTATACTATTTTATTGGTAATTATGGAATATAATGGCGTTAAAAGGTCATAGGACATTTCATGTATACTTCAGGTTAACTTTCGTGCAGTTGAATCTTTTTCAGAAAAATTTAGAATTGAATTTTCTCAAAAAAATTCAAATCTGCACAGTCGACGTTCCAGTCCAGGCATGGGCTTTCAATAGATAGATCTAGACTAGCCAGAGGAGGTTCGAGAGGTTCAAAATTCAAATCCAAAATTATTCCAAAGGCATACAATTTTCAATATTTTTTCACTATTTTGAGCACTTTTCAAGTGGTATTATAATCCCACCTCCCCCGTCCCACCTCCGTTGGCACCCACTCATGTTCACTGTGTAAAAAATTTGGCGGGGGTCTTAGGTTGAAGCCTCAGATATCAGTATGTTCCCATACCAATCTGTCAAATTTCAATGTGTTCCTATACCACCAAAAATAACATCAGTCCAAAAGCCATACCACACGTCCAAATATAAGACCAATGCCATACCAAATGTCCAAATATAAGGCCAATGCCATACCAAATGTCTAAATAATTGTATATGTCCAATGCCACCAAGTGAAAAGGGTTACTATTCAATCTGTAGAAGGCCGCAAGAAGGACAGATCCTTGAGGAAAACAATCTTGAAATAAGGATATGTATAACTATCAGACCGATGCCATACCAAAAGTGTGAGGAAACATATTTCCCACGACCATTCTCATACAAAAAAGTGGAAAATCCGACCATTGCCATACCTCAAAATTCATAATTTGGGGCCATTCTCATACCAGATCCTGAATTTTGGGTCCATTGCACCAAATGTCAAAAAGGTACCTCACATGTGCCGAGGTTTAGTGCATGTATATTCAGCATATAAATATTTTATGTCTCTGGTATATTTTAGAAGAATAATTCAAAAGTCAATAAAACTGTAGTCTGTTAAGATAATTTTAGGGTCAAGCGGGGGGGGGGGGGGGGTCAAGCCTCTCATCTCATCCTGTAAGAACTGCCATGTTTTACTGATATTCACAATAAATATTTGATATTACAGGTTGATCACAGTATATATTGACACCAAACCAGGGGCTCTGCTGAGGTATAAAGCTGTGACACCATTTATAAAGTTCCTGCTGATTGGATAATGAATTCCAATGATTCACACAACAGTGGTGAGTTATTTCCCAATGTGCAATTTTTTCTACAGCTCTAGCCTCGCTTGCCTCATAGCTAGCTACAACCCAGTGAAGAGTATATATAAACTGTTATACAATACTTAATTGATGATTCAATGGCCCATACAAAACCTGGGATACAAAAGGATAAATAAGATGACCTTAAAAGAATAGGAAAATAAAAAATTCTAAATTCTAAGTAATCAGATGCACCTCTGTTTATTCACTTTTTTCATATTTAGCAGGTCCTGGCAGGCCACTTGCTCCAATATTTGCCAAGAAAAGACCTAGACAAGCTTTGCTGGCCCATCCAAACAATACAGAGTCCCCTAACTCCTTCCAAGGTAACAGGAAATTTAGATGTATTTGTTTGGCCAACTGAGAGCTTTGATGGTTCTCACTTAAATGATTTAATTAAGTACCTAAAAGGATTATTTTGAAATTCCAAGTACCGTTCGATGTAGAATCAGTGTTTACTTAGTTTTAAAAACACAAAGAAAATGTTATTTTCAAGGATCATACAAAGCAAAAACAAGTGCCCAGGCCTCTCAACAAGCTGTGCAACCAAAGCAACTGAAACAAACGAAACTCATCGGACAGTCGCAGCAGATGGGTCAACAATCACAGAAAGGTCAACCAATGCAAATGGGACAACCACAGCAAATTGGAAATCCACATAAATGGCAAGGTACTTCCGTGTTGTCACACTACCTTCCAAAAGTTTGGCAACCTTAGCTCCCCCATTGGAGTACATGTTGAAGCCTCTTGATGTTTGAATTTTTATTTACATACAGTGTAACCTACATTGAAACCACTTGTGATAGTGATAGAGATGTACATGTAACTCGACTTTATAATTTTCTATACCTCCTTTCCTAATTTTGAGAATTGATGAATTTGGGGCAAATCAGATTTCAAGATATCTATTCAGTACAGATTCACCAGAAAATATTTTTTATACAAAAAATTTAATTGTCTTACTTTTTTGCACGCTTTGTGAGTTTAGTTTACTTTGTGAACATCAAAGTTACAGAGATTCAAAGTCATTTTTGAAAACCAATTTTCGCCTCCATATGTTTTGGGCCAATATAAAGATGGCAGCAGTGATGGAATCCTATAACTTTCATATTGATTGGCCTGCCCTCTTTATTTAAAGTTGATTTCTATTACCTTTTAGCCTATGGTTAGGGGAGGCATCTAAAGTTCGATGTCGGATAGAAAACTAATTAAATAAATCTAGTTAGGGGGGGGGGGGGGGGTTCACACCCATTTCAGTTTGCTATCCGACAAATTTCAACATTTCAAATTTTTGACAATTTCGACTGAGAATGCCTTTGAATGGTTTAAAGATAAAGATTTTACCTGATGCTTTCTTCGTCAAGATCATTCCAATGGATTCTATTCTATCAATAGTTGTTAAAAGCCGCAAATTGCGATAGGAATTAACAAAAACTAGATTGTGTTTAGCAATAATTTTTCAAATTCTCAAACCGGAAGTCAGCGATCAACTTTCATGGTATTTAGTTGTTTTTTTGGGGGGGGGGTCAGAGTCAAAACTAGATTTATTTAGTTTCCGATCCGATCGAACTTTTGATGCCTCCCCTTAGAGAGCTGGGTTTCTTGAAAAATAATTTTTCAACTTTGTTGAACCTGAAGGAATAAATTAATTTTCTGTTAATTAAAATTAGCAAAGGATGATTCTCGGTCTCCTGGGCTAATCATTTTTTTCATGAAAAATATCGAAATATTACCCAAATTAAACTAAAAGAGGACATTTAAATCTACAAGATGTAAAAATAACAAATTGGTCTGAAGCAGGGATAACGCTCAAAAAGACCGATTCAATAAAATACAAGTCTCGATTTGGGGAAAGAAGTTCATCAGTGTACTGCGCTAATATTTTTTGGCGAAAAATCTAGAAATATTACCCAAATTAAATTATGACTATTCAAAATAAGACATTCAAATCTATATTATGTAAAAAAAATCTTTGTCCGAAGCAGGGATAATGCTCATTTAGATTGATGAACTTCGTTCTCCAAACCGAGAATCGTCCTTTAATTTTCGGCAGTGTGCAGCACTCAATTGCTCAAATGTCTCAATGTATAACTGCTCCTATAATTATATAATAATATCCTAGTATACATCATTGCTCTTGCATTTTAGCTAACCAAAGAGGAAACTCCTCTTCAATTGGGAAAACACCTTCTTCCTCAATGAATCAAAACCAATATGGTAGAGAACAACAAAGTCAATACCATGAAAACCAATATGGCTGTCAATTAAGTGAACAAAATCAGTATGGGAAGACTGGTCTCCATGGCAACAACAGTTGTTATTTTCAAGGTGGTAATGTTCAATCTGTAAATCAGAGTAACCAATATGCTCAACAAGATAACCCTGGTAATAAATATAACAATAGAGGTCAGTTTGGCAACCAGGGGTCTCAGTTCAATGGTAACCAAGGCAACCAGGTGTCTGGATTTAATGGCAAGCTAAACCAACACAGCGAGAGGTTTGAATTCAGTGGAAACCAAGAGAATCAGGGATTTCAATACTGTGGTAACCAAGACAACCAGATGCCTCAATTTAATGGTAACCAAGGGAACCAGAGGTCTCAACTTAATGGTAACCAAGGCAACCAGAGGTCTCAATTCAATGGTAACCAAGGCAACCGGAGGTCTCAATTCAATGGTAACCAAGCCATTTCGATGTCTCAGTTCACTGATAACCAAGGGAACCAGAGTTCCAGATTCAGTACTAACCAAAGTGGTAACCATGGCAACCAGAGATTTCAATTCAGTAACCAAGGCAACTCTCAATTTAGTGGTAACCAAAGGTAACTAATTACAGCAACGTGAAGAACTTCATTCATAATACTATGGATATGAGTTTCTTCTCAATTTTTAATAGAAATAATATAATAGAACAGGAATTTCGAAAGCTTCCCATTTTTACTGTTTCAATATCCTGTGGAGCATTATACACATAGCCTACCATAATAGCTTGGGAAAAAAGTTTAAATATTGTTGTATAAAATGAGTTAACACATTCAAAGCTGTACATTGTGCAAAAGTTCAATTCAATTCCAGGGAAAGTATTCAGGGTCAACCAGGTTCTTCAAGTACTATGGGTGCTCCCTCCATTTGTGCCCCATCAACAAGCTATGGTCCACCTTCTAAACATGGTCCCCCAACATTTGCTAGCCCTGCAAAGGGTTTAGCGAAAGGTCAAGCTGTCACTCCTGGTAAATACAATGCACAGTCCAATAGATCTGACTCCAGACCCAATAACAAACAGGTACATATATTTGTTAACCAACGGAGAAATTCCTAGGGATATGATTGGCCAATGCAATGTAAACATATCCTCTATATGCAAGCTATATTCACCCATATTACACTCTTGCATCACTGTTATTATTGAATGTTTTTCACAAAAGGAATGTACAGTGGAGCCATTCTGCTGAAATTAAAATTTGCATGTTGCCCTTTATACCTATGTTTATTTTTAATTTGTTTTTAGACCAAATATTTAGTTTGATCATTTATTCAAACAACTTGCCAATTACTCAGATGCGAGTAGGTAGTTACCAGTTTCGCCACCAGGTGGCTGATTCGGGGGAAATAACATGGCAGGGTATTACAAAATTCCCTTAAACTTTTCATATTACCCTGATGTATGTGATAGTTATACAAATTAAAATATGTCAAGTAAAAGAAAATATTATCTGCCCAACACAAGAAAAGATATTTCATTTTTGTGGTTTTACAACATGGGGTAGACTATATCCTATTTAGTCTGAATTATATTCAGACTATAAGGCACCTATGTTAAAGTTTCACTGGCATGTAGCGATTTAAGCGATACTGGATACTTTACTGAATTGTGTCGAAGTTAGACGTGTGGTGCGGAAGTTATATGCAGATGACTATCATTTCAATGTTATATTGTTTGTAGGCAAATTGAGATTAGGCCATTGGAGTATTTGTTTCACGCATACATAAAGCCTAACGCATTCAAGGGTCACATTTATCATTAAACCAATAACTCAAACATATGACCTTGTACACCGACCACCTCTTGAAATCAATGCAGGCCGATTTCAACGAATGCAAACGGTGATATATAAAAGAAACATAATCAAGCATGACCACGTCCCAACTTCTTTTGTTTTCTTTACAACTAAGCTATGACTGTAGTCTATTCAGTGTTGCGTATCGAACCTTGTTTATTATAAAAATAGTGCAACAACAAGCAGAATTCACACATTTACCTATACTTATTCTCAACTGAAGACATTGAATTTATCTTTTAGGTTTTACATTATAAATATCTTAACATGCAGAATACGAAAATAGAGGCTTAGGCCCAACTTTGTATGGATTTTATGAAAATAATCTGATTTTAGAGAAATGGAAAGAAAAATGTCCACACCCTACACAAAATATTTATGGTTCCCCGGGAATACGTATGTGTTGCTTGTATATTAGAATCGTATTCCAGTTACAGAAAGAAGTACATATCATGCTAAACTATATATATATATATTTATCGTCTATTATCCTTTGACAAGTAGAGTAGAGAATAAAAATAAAAAATTTAAAAAATTCAAAAAAGGAAATAAGATTAATTTTTTAGAAAACTACTTGGTAAATGATAAAGCAGATATGTGCGGTCGGTTTGGATATGGGGTTTATCCCTCGTGAGATATGCACGTCTACCTTCGGTCCCTATGGTCCATCAGAAGGAGAAAACAAGTCAAAATTATGTTATATGTGTAATACGTTTCAACAGGAAAATGTCATCCATTTTATGTTAACGTGCACAGCAAATAGTTATACCCCGTTTAGACGTAAACTGAATGAGCACTGCCAAAAGTTTGGTATAGAGATGAATATTAACAACATTTTAGGGATTAACTTTAGAAATGATCCCCGGTCTTTAGATTTTTTGAGAGGGGTTTCACTTATCGTGCAAGAGCAATACCACCTCCGTGCTTCGTGCTTGCAATGCAACTCATAACTGACTTATATAATTTCGGATGCGTTTTAATGCAAACCATGGGTTAAAATCTGTTGATTAATGCGTCAAGTATTTTATATCTATCTATATATTTTATATACATAAGGTATAAACCATATGTACATACTTAATCTATATCTACTGTCAATTGTGATCTCTGAACAAATGATCTCTCAAATGGTTGTAATTGGACGATGAGGTAGCGGTAGCATCTTATATCGTCTGTGGTTCATTGGATGAGATGCTTACATCGACCTTGGGGAAGATGGTTTGCACTCAACTAATGAGATAAGTGTATTATATAATGTATAAAATGTTTGTACATACTTAACCTTTTTTACTTTTTCAATTATGATCTCTGCACAAAATGATCTCATTAAGGGTTGTAATTGGACGATGAGATAGCGGTAGCATCTTATATCGTCTGTGGTTCAGTGGATGAGATGCTTACATCGACCTTGGGGAAGATGGTTTGCACTCAACTAATGAGATAAGTGTATTATATAATGTATAAAATTGTATGTACATACTTAACCTTTCTTAACCTAACCTTTTTTACTTTTTCAATTATGCTCTCTGCACAAATGATCTCATTGAGGGTTGTAATTGGACGATGAGATAGCGGTAGCATCTTATATCGTCTGTGGTTCGTTAGATGAGATGCTTACATCGACCTTGGGGAAGATGGTTAGCACTCATCTAACGTAGTCGTATAAAGTGTGTTTTATATATTGTATATATTTTTATTCTATGTTCATTTAGCATTAATGTTATATCAGCATTATTTTCATTGTACACTGTATACATGTATCTCCTTTTCATAAAGGGCAATAAAGATATACATACATACATACATCAGGTAGATATAGAGATTATCCTATATGAGGTTCAGGATATTGGGATTACCCCGAGGCAAATATAATATATCTGTCCGAGGGCCGCAGGTCCCGAGGGAAAATATATTTTATTCCATAATACTAACTGTTTTCCCAGGGAAATATAAAAGAATTAAAATCGTATTGAATCGTATTACATGAAAAAATCGTATTGTCCCCGGGAAAAAAATCGTATTGGAGCGTATTACATGAAAAAAATCGTATTGTCCCCGTGAAAAAATCGTATTGGAGCGTATTACATGAAAAAATCGTATTGTCCCCGTGAAAAAATCGTATTGGAGCGTATTGACCTATTTTTTAGTTTCCCGGTTATTTTATTTATTTATTTTATTTTTCAAACAATGTGCATTTATTAATATAACGTTTGCATTATCCAAATGTAACATTCTAGAGGGATGTATTATGGAATAAATAGGTTATTTCTGGTCAGGATTGAATATGGGTTTTATTCCTCGGAAAATATGATATTGACCTTGGGCAATATGATATTGACACTCGGTCGCTGCGCTCTCGGTCAATATTATATTACCCTTCAGTCAATATCATATTGTCCCTCGGAATAAAACCCATATTCAATCCCTGCCAGTAAATAACCTATATTTATCCCATACTTGTACGTGTTACGGGTACATAAAGCCGGTTTGTAAAAACTTATATTTGCATCAGCGGGCAGATATAGCTTAACGTCCCGCTCCGAGCGGGCAGATATAGTATATCTGCCCGCTACGTCATAATCGCTGTTCCCGTATTGGTTATTTTTTGTAACGTTCGCATACTGTAAACGACAATGGAGAAAAACGCAGACAATCGCGATCTGTGATTGGTATGGGATAAACAGATCATCCTATAGTCGGTTCAGGATATTTGGATTATCCCTTGGCCAATATATTATATCTTCCCTCGGGACCTACGGCCCTCGGGCAGATATATTTTATTGGCCTCAGGATAATCCCAATATCCTGAACCTCATATAGGATAATCTCTATGTATTCCATACCTGATGAGGTTTCAGGGGCATATCAACCGGGAATATATTCCATATCCGGCAAATATTTTTCGTATGTCCCGCTCCGACGGAGCTCCGGGACATATAAATCGTATGTCCCGCTCAAAAAAATGTTAAAAGTAAATTCGGAAAAAAAAATTTTGAAAAAATTTGAAAAAAAAGTTTTGAAAAGTTTTGAAAATATTCTGAAAAAAATGTATGCCAAAAAAAGGTGAAGAAAAATGTGGGAAAAAAATTGGGAAAAAAAATTTGGAAATTTTTCTTTTTCATTTTTGAAAAAAATTGGAAGAAATTTTGAATTTTTTTTGAAAATGATAACATATTTTGCAAGTAACACACCAGAGCATGTGGGAAACATACTTAAGATATCATATTCATTCGTGGATAAAAATCATATCTCTCATAAATCATAGGATATCCTCTATATCCCATGGTTGCAATGATATAGATCGAATATCACATGATGATATATTTGATATGTGACCAAGATATCATATTTTAGTAAACAATTTACAAACCATCGAATATCCCTTTTAAACTATCGAATATCACGTCTTAAAAAGTGATATTCGATGGTTTCGAATTTTTTCAAAAAATGAATTTTGAATATTTGATGACGTAAATCAAGATAATTTCTACTCGCATCTTGTCTATTCCACAGGTTTGGGAAAAGTTTACAGGAAAATCTCCATGTTCAATTGATGTATGATCAATATACAAATCGAATGTATTCTCGTGTGCATTACAATATCCACATTGAAACATTTTTGGCCTGCAATGGACGTATAATGGATGGATTAGAATTTGAGGCCGTGTTATCATTCAAATGTAAAGTCATGGTATTGGGTTGCAAGTTAATATCAGATTCAATGCAAAGTAATCATTTAATATCAGATGCGCGATCAGTCCAATAATGTAATTTCGGGTCATTAGTTCGATATCTAGCAGTTGTTCTAACGACACGGTATTACTAGGCTATCGTGTTATAAATAAACACACACATATAAATAAATCAGACTGGTACACGATATAAGCACGACTGCTCTTTCAATTGAGTATAAATGTTGATAAACTTACCCGGAAGCTAACACATACACGTTAAGACGATGCTATTTTCAGTTCAGTGTAAGAGTAAATGCCCGGATATCGAAGCTTTTTCGTGTAAAGTTTTAACCAAGCATGTAGTATCGGGTTATATTGCGTGTAGAATTTATCGATATCAGGGCCGCTACATGCCAGTGAAGTTTGGTAATTCCAAATATTTGTTTACATAGGAAGTGCTATTCAAAATGGCCGATTGGGTAAAATTAATTTGCACATTTTTACTTCAACTAGCTTTATTTCCACTAGACAATATGCTGTGTTACTTTTTATTGCATTTAATTGTACCTTACTATTTAATTGGAATTTTGTAATGTTTATTTTATTGAAAAAATGTTTCCTCCAATTGATAATTTTGTGCAGAAAATTTCACTGCAATTTCCACAGGAAAGTAGTACATCATAACAGACTGACTTCTAGTCAGTCTGTTGGATACATACTACAACATGGGGTCTATGGTGAATCTCCCCAACCTAGAAGTCACATTTTCAAAGAAAATTAAATTTTCAAAGTTGATAAACTCTTTTCAAAACCACATTTCTAGATGTAAATTTACATGTAGATTCCAAATATGACATCAGCTTGACTGAATTTTTAATTTTTAATGCTATGAATCTAGATTATTTCTACTCGCATCTAGGATATTGCCATATGCTGAGCTTTGATATTAATACAATACTTTTCTTGCAAAAGAACAGAAGTTAAATTTAATATTGGTATGGATATTTGCACCCCTCCCCAGCAACTTTGCTATGGTTTTCAGAATAAAGCAGCATCTACTACTTGGGGACAGAAACCTGAGAGAGACCAGTCAATGAGAATTATAACAGCTAACATATCTGGTATGAAACACTGGGCAAAGTACACCAAATATGGACCAATACTGTTTGAGCTATATGGTAAGTACACCAAAATGTATCAAGGTACCAATGTTTGGGCTAGGCTATATGGTAGGCCTAATTAAAATACTGTTTGGCCATAAGGTCACCAAAAATATAGGCCAATACTGCACCAAATATCAGAATATGTAAATTGAGTAATTACTGTTTGTTGTGTATTGTTCGAGCTATATGGTAAGTACACCAAATAAATGTCACCGAGCACGTGGAAAGTACACCTATGTGCCATAATTGTTCTGACTTATATGGCAAGTACACCAAATATGTATGATTGATACTGTAAGCACTATAGTATATAAACAATACTTCAAATATGAACTCATATTGTATGAACTCACGGTAAGTGCACTAAAAATGCATCCAAATCTGGACTGAATTGTTTGAGCTCTTTCAGTAGTACAACAAATATGAACCAATTGTTAGAATTAATTCTGTTCTCGCATGTTTCAAAAAAGAAGTGTCTTTCTCCCAATATTTCAGTGCCTCTCAAGTCTCTACATAGGAAGACAGAGATGTTATGAATTTAAGATGTTTTTAGCTGATAGAATTATGTTGTAGGTATAGTGGACTCTGCTACCTCAATGTCTAATGGAGCCAAGGAGTTCAAGTTGAAGGATGAGAATGACATTGTAAGATGTTCATTTTATGAAATAGTAAGTATACATTTTCCAAATGTTGGCAACTCTAGTTTCGCACATATTTGTGAATTTGTGTCAAGGTAAATAGTTTGGTTATTGAGCCAGATCATGTTTAATTTTGTCATATTCTTAGAATTGGGAAATGACCAAATTAACAGTGAATAGGAAAATGTAATTTTGGTGCTGTTTTCCAGGACAGGCAGTTGCCAAAACTTGTGAGGGGTCAGTGGTACAGGTTGGTAGGCAACTTTGAGTTAAAGTCTGATGTGATGAAAGTGGTCAGTATCAGAGCAGCAACCAATGGGGAGAGGAAAAACATGAAGAGTGATGTAGCAGCAGCAGATAGTGTCATGAGAGCGAGGGTGGCGGATTTGACGGAATCTTAGACTCAAACTGGTTCTTAATCCAGTTTTGCAATTCAGTTGAACTATTGCGCCCTGGCCATGAGTGTATATTGGCGCATAATGATGGAGCATCATAATAAGGATTGAAAATTCTCCAGAGTTAAGACCTTAGACATCACGGTACACCTTGGCATTAGCTAGAGTAGATGGTAAAATGGTGAATGGTTATACATCAGTCTCTGGATCAATCCCCACTAATATCAACTTCATGAGATAAGGTGTGTAGGCGTGGGGGTTAAAACTTAAAAGGTGTTAATGCAAAACTATGCAAAATATCACATTCAAATTTTTTAAGAACAATGGTAGCAAAGTGCTTATATCCTGCCACAAGTATGTATATTGAACTTGACTGACCAGTCCAGTAAATCTTGCTACCCATCGGTTATGATGTCATTCTAATTTTCATGCAGCAAGAGAATTGATGTGTTGCTAATTTTCAATAATCAATTACAGTTCTGTTTACAAACATTGGTACCTGCGAAATATGGCATTATCAATCTAGTAACCAAAAATATAGCCTATTTTGATTGGTTCACCAAAAAGGTCAGGATTTACTGGAAAGGCCTATTCAGTTTCAATCTCTCTTTAAGTCTGATTAGACATTGTTTTTACACTGCTACTGTGAGGATACATGAGTAGTGCTGTGGCTGCATTACCAGTGATATCATTGATTATTAAACACTAAAAGGACTCTGCCTATTACACCATCTATATCACTTAATAGATTTATATGGATTCAATGATGTAAAAATGTTTAACAGTTTAAAGTTCATGTTTAAATTCATGTTATTGGTCTATACTAAATATTGTGATGTTTTACTTTATTCCATTCATCACTTTCAAATATTAGAGACTGCTGCAAAAGATCAAAGTAGAATAGGCCTAATAAATAGACTCCTCCCCTAATTAGGCTCCTTCCCTAATTAGTCAAACTCCTCCACTAATTAATTAGTCTCCTCCCCTTATTAATCGAACTCCTTCCTTGATTAGACTCATCCACTAATGAATCAGATTCTCCCCTAATTAATCAGACTCCCCCTTAATAAGATGCCTCCCCTAATTAATCAGATTCCTCCCCTAATTAGACTCCTCCCCTATTGACTCTATTGAAATGTTTTTCACACAGCTTTTTGGAAATAATTGTGCATTTCATGAGTATTGTACATCAAATGACAAATGATTGGAATATCAAAGTGTATGGGAGATTGAAAATTGAACCAAAAAGTTGAGGTGTGTATGAACATGACGGATAAACATATTGTTTTTTGGAGGTACCTACATTGATTTTTTGCAGAAGCAACATGTACTTACTAGTCAGTGTTTACATAAAACTTATAACAACATATTCTTTATGGTTTGTTTTATTACAAGATATTTACAATGTTACTTATTATTCCATTTGAATAAATATATATTTACAATGAAAGTGCAGTTTTGTAGATCTTGAATGAAGAATATTTAGTATTCACTCAGTTCATATGTATAGCAACAATCATCCAAGCTTAAAGCAAGTGGGTTCTGCATCTACTCAACATTTCCAAAATAGTCTTCCCATTGAAAATCCATTTTCAATAAGAGGGGAGACAGGGGATGGAACAGAAAATACATTTCAAAAACCACCATTTTTATTAAAATTAGGTAGGTCTAGTTTTATTTTGTCGCCTGTGAACATATTTTTAATACTTCCCTCACTTGCCAATGAGCTCATCACATTTTCAAAACATCAGACTGAGAAACATTCAATTGTCGCAAATTGATACACAAAGCTCCGACTTTTCAATAATCTGGGGTTAATCATGGAATTTTTGTTCAAAATCAAAATATTTTTTTGCTTATTCCTACATTTTAGAAAAAAACTAGATGGGTGGCTGTCAATTACTAACAAAGTACTGGGAACATGATGAGTGTATTGACAAGTGAGGAAACACTATGAAACTTTCACAGACTTCCAAATAAAATTACATCTACCTGCTTTTTGAACAAAAATACCCCTGGGAGAGTTCTGATCAATGCTAGATTTAATACGCACTTGTTGAATTTTTTACTTGTTGTTGAAATATTCCAGCCAGTAATGTCATTTTAACCAACTGATGTGATGACATTTTAAGTCTACTTTTATATCTGTGAGATCAATCTTGCAACAGCAATCTTTTTCACCCTACTACCAGTTTGCTTGTATATAAAAATGACAACCTAGTTCGCTTAAACAGTAGTGTTTCCTTTTCAATAGTTGATTCATCCTCCAATTAAATAGATATTTCTGAAGGGTCTATTTATCCGTTTATCCTGTTCGCATGAAGCATGTCAAGTCCTCTGTGATACATCCCTAGGTCTATATGCAACTCCTTTACTCTTTAGTTCCCGTACAATTCCTGGAGGCAGTTTTCCACTCACAGATATAGCATAACACCCCTTAGTGAATCGATCTGAAACAAAAAAATATACATTTAAAACTACTCATTCATATAACAGTCATACAAACTGAAAGTGGAATGTCTTTGTTCCACTTGGGTTCCACTTGGGAGTTATTTCACATTCAGATGTTCATTTAATTTACATATAAAATTATGAGAAACGGGATGTGAGTGTTTTACAAAATGAAAGTGTTCCACTAACATAGATATTCTATGTCAAGTTTTACTGTGCAAGTCTGTTTAATAAAGTTTGAACAATCGCTTCACTTGGGTTTGACATATTACTGTTAGTATTTATTTCTTTGGTAAAATACTGTACTCCTGGTATTTTTCACATGCGATTTAGTTTCACGCTTTTCGCAATTGACCCTTTTCCATATAAATGGAAAATAGATGGCATCATGGGTATTGGTAGGGCTAGGGAAGGGCTAGAATACATGTAAATGTATTACCAGAGTCACTTAATTTCTTGATTTAAGAAGTAATTCCTTTGGATCAACTTAAAACACCATTGGAATATAATCTTATTGATATGTGGATTGTGATTTCACATTAAAATTGTGATCCTTGTGAGAGTAAATAAATTTTTAAAGGTTTTTCAGCATTGTGTCAATGGGGATTTAGCCCGACCTTTTTTAGACAACTTTGAAATCATTAGAATTTGAATAAAGATAAATAATGGTGCAAATCAAAATTGTTTTGGTAGAAAATTACTCACAGAATTCAAATATGCCCTCAAAAAGAAGAAAATGTTAGTCTTTAATGGTTAAAAATGAAGATCTCCTAAAATCACATTAAAAACGAGTCTTTAACCGAGATTTCAAAGCTATATGGAAAAAGGGTCATTGTGGTAAAATCACAAAAATTAATCTTGTGAAATTGTGAATTAAATCCCCTGGGATTTGTGAAAATTTTTATTACCTGCGCACCATTGAATTTTGTATTTTGTAAAATATTTGTCAAGTGTTATAAGGCGATAAATGGGATACTAAGTAACAATGTCTGTTACAGTGGCTTATTAGATCAAATAAACCAAAAAATGACGATGTAATAAAGGTTGAGGTGCAGCGTGTCGCTGACCAAGATGACAGAGTAGTAGATGTACTTAGTGAAATTCTTGAAATCTAATAGCCACGGAACTGTGTTTTACCAAAATTCGCGAAATTAAAACTCGCAAAATTAACTGGGAGTACAGTATTTATTTTTGATCTTACATTTTTTATTGGATTCAAATTAACTTAAGATTGAACATAAAATATTTAGGTATCCATAATTTATTGCCCTTGCTATTTTTCAACCCTTGAGATTCATTTTTGTCAAGTACTGGTCCAACAGGAAGTACAAAAACCACAATTTAATCCAAAAATAGGAAGGTGTTATGTTTTATTTTATTGTCTGTGAACTGTTTTAAGTGCTTCCTCACCCTCCAGTACTGTGGATATATAGATAGTATTTACTTACTGACTCTCTGCCATTTTGCCACCCAGCTATCATCAGGGCTCATCATACCAATCAGTCTGAAAAATAACACACAACAAATATGATACAGGGTGACACAAAACATGCTACCTACTAATTTTAGAATACTTTCTTAATAATTAACCAATCTTCGTTATTTTTTATGTGTAGATAGAGGGTTCAATAGAAGAAAGATTGGTATATGCTTGCAATGAGTGTTTTATTTTGGTGAATGAAACAAAACTATAAGATCATAATCCTTGTCAGATTAATCAAAAACATTTATTAAAAGTAGGGCTGTGCCAGAATCGGTTTGGATGGTTTGGAATTGAAACTTTGTCTCACCGAATTGGAACTTTCAGAACCACAAACAAAAGTTGATACATCGTTTTATATTTGTTTTGATCGATTGGAAGTAGAACTCCAAAGTTAACTTAAAAACTCAATTTTTTCCCCCTCTCCTCATGATTTGGTTTACCGGCCATTTCCACTTTAGTGTAAATCTCGCAAAAATATACTGAACTCCCACTAATATCTGACACTATTATATTTATATTTATACTCCAAATCTATTTATTATATTTATGCGACTAATGCATATGTATATTTGACGCAGTTTGAAGGAAACATTTTGTTGAATGGCACGCCCCTAATTAAAAGAACAACAATAAATTGGGATTCATCAATACATGCAATAAGAGGGCAGAAACTTTTGAGGTTTTTTACTTAGAAACTTGACTCAAGAAATTGTTAGAATAGAATTTGTATTGAAGTTGAAGCGAGCAAATTCACATGTGAGATATTGCTATTTGGGATTCATATAAATGGGTCTGTCATGTTTAAACCAGAACAACGGCAACGCCAAAGCGTAGCGAATCCCATCGAACAGAAATGGCTGGCATTTTTACAAACGAATAGCAAATATCATAAAACAACTAACCAGAAAGGCCACCATTTTCAAAATGGTTGCTCACTAGCCAAGTTGTCATCAGAAGAAATATAATATGCTTTTAAGTAGCCACCTCTAAATTTTTTGAAAAATCGCACACGTACTTGTAAAATAACACACATAAAAATGGTGGCCATTTTTCAAAATGGCCAACTACTCCCCAAAGTTTTATTAGACAATGTGCAATGCTTAGAGTATTCACATATCAAATATGAACAAAATCGCTCCACTACTTTTCGAGTTATAGTAAAATACGTTAAAATGGTGGCCATTTTTCAAAATGGCCACCTTCTACCAAAAATGTCATTAGAAATAGACAGTGTGCCATGCTTATAGTATTCGCATACCAAATATGAACAAAATCGCTCCACTACTTTTCGAGTTATAGTAAAATACATTAAAATGGCGGCCATTTTTCAAAAAAAATTTCAAAATGGCCGCCTTCTACTAAAAGTGTCATAGGACAGTGTGCCATGCTTATAGTATTCACACACCAAATATGAACAAAATCGCTCCACTACTTTTCGAGTTATAGTAAAATACATTAAAATGGCGGCCATTTTTCAATTTTTTTTCAAAATGGCTGCCTTCTACCCACAGTGTCATAGGACAGTGTGCCATGCTTATAGTATTCACACACCAAATATGAACAAAATCGCTCCACTACTTTTCGAGTTATAGTAAAATAGGTTAAAATGGCGGCCATTTTTCAAAATGGCCACCTTCTACCAAAAGTGTCTTTAGACAGTGTGCAATGCTTATAGTATTCACATACCAAATATGAACAAATTCGCTCCACTATTTTTTTGAGTTACAGCAAAAATCGTAAAATGACGAGTAAAGGCCGCCATTTTTCAAGATGGCTGCCATGTGCTTCTTTAATATCTACATTTGTAGCATTATTAATGTCTTTTATAACTTTTTTACATTTAAAACATATTGCTATTACAGTTTTACATATTGCACCTAAATTACTGCAAAATCGGCACTAAAATGGCCGCCATTTTGAAATGAGCAGCCATTTTGAAAATCGGCTTTCGAGCAGAACTTCTACCCCCATGGGGTATATGTGTACAAAATATGAACAAAATCGGGCCGACGGTATTTGAGTTATTGCCCGGACGGACGGACAGACGGACGGACGGACGGAGGCGTTCCCTATATCCCTCCGAACTTCGTTCGATGGGATAAATATACATGGTCAAACATTATGTTGCTGATTTCTAAAGAGAATTTCTAAAATTGTCAAATTGCGGCTTGGATAGCAGCAGTAAAATGGAGGAAATTTTAAGTGACACTAACAACTAGATAACAACAAATCCCATTGAACAGGAATTGCTGCTATTTTTACAAAATCATTCCCCCACTTTTTCAGTTATAAATAACACATACATTTCAAAATGGTCGCTCACTAGCCAAATTGTCATCAGAATGTGTAATACGCTGTAGGCACGTATAAAAGGTCCATGTGCAGTATGGCAAGTGATTTTAAAAAGTCATATCTTTAACCATGAATACTTTCTGGGCATAAATACAGAGGTTTTTATTAAAACAATACGTTTTCTTTCAAGTGAAGTACCCAGTTTGTATATCAATCGAACAATGCGAAAAATTATGAATAGGGACCCCATGTCAACATTTTTTACAAAATGTTGAACCTATTTACTCAAAAGAGGATATTTTTTCTGGTTTTTATTGCATGAAAAGATTATTCATCAAGGGGTCTAAAACTTCTTCAAAAGTAGAATGGTATTGAAAGGCTAGTTTTGAAAATATCAATTTTCATGACATGACCATGAAGTTATGCTGAAAACAATGGATAGCACAAGTTTTCCCTATGGGGAAATAAAATGGGATATGTGGTTTTTAACTTTAACGCATTTCAATACGCATCCCCTTTTCAGAAAATATTAATATACGTAGTGTAGAAGAAACTTGCGATATGTTTAAATTAAGAAAATAAAAACAAGATTATCTCTTTAGAAAATGATCCATAATTTTTCAGAGAGTTGGATTGATATTTTATTATCATTTGGGACTTCACTTGAAAGAAAGCATAGTTTTAATGAAAACATCTGTATTGATAGCCAGAAAGTACCCATGGTGAAAGATATGACTGTCAATCACTTGCCATACTGCACATGGACCTTTCAACAAAATCCACTCCACTACTTTTCAAGATGTCAGCAAAAAACTTGTAAAGGTTGGCATTTTTCAAGATGGCTGCCATGTGTTTCTTGATTAACGATGTTGAAAAGTGTTTTGAATATTACTTCACCATGTTTCTATGAGAACTAAAATTCTAAAATGCATTTTTCTCTGAACAACTTTCATGCATGGATGAGTTCATTTCTTGCTAAATTCATCAACCAATTTTCTTAATTTTTTTACAAAAGACATGTGAGGATACATACTACGCATTGGCGTGATTTCATATAATTGCTTGCAATCTTAAACACATTGGCATAGCCAGGAAGACAAGAGCAACGAGGCAAAAAATATTTACAAACATTTAAAAAAAGCAATGAGGCAAGCCTCTGCTTCATCCTAGCTATACTAGGCTATGTGACTCAATCATGGAAAGAAACATTTCCGCCGTTCAGATTCCAAAATTGATGAAAGGATGTTAAAAAGCAACAAGGCAAGCATCTGCCTCATCCTGGTTACGCTACAGTTACAATAGCAGCTATATAATCTGATGCAACACTTGAATAGAGATGGCCTTGAAAGAAGGTAAGCCATACTCTACAGTCTATGGCGGTTTCTCAACAGAACACTTAAATATACATAGTACATACCCATCAAAGTTGGAGCTTGTACATTCATATACACCATCTCTATTGTGCTTCAAATGTAAATATTCTTCACAGTTATCACACCCGTCAAATTCAAATTGTTCAAATGTCTGCAAATAAAATTTAGACAAAAATAATCTAAGCAATTTATAAGTCCAACTGGGGTGATTTTAATAGTGTACTATTGTTTTATATATGTATTATTGTATTTTAAGACACTATAATAAAATTCTAAAATAAATAAATACCTTAGTTCAAAAAAATTCTAAAATCCACATGTTTTTTTTCATTTCCTAGTGTTTGGTGTGGGGTTATTTTGAGAAACATAAATGTCCTAAATATAAAAAAAACTCAAAATAACCCCACATTTATGGGGGTATGTTCTATTAGACAACAAAACTTTTTAATTTAGATTTAGCTGGCTTTTGAGCCAACTGTGCTCAGTAAAGCTCAAGAGGGGGAGAAACCCCAGGGTTCAAAGATGACATACGCTTATAATGTAAATCTGCATTATGATGACATTGTCGCTGACTGGTTTAAAACTAGGTCAGTTTGTTCACTCGACTAACTTCCGGATTGATGTAGCCTTGTAGAAGGCTTTAGCATTTGTTGATTTTTAAAATTTGGATATTTGTTTCCAAATGTAAAGCCTTGCATCAAACCCATTGGAAAACGCTCGATTTTACCTGCAATAAATTACATATAATTCGTAAGATAAATACAACTTACTATGTCATATTTTCATGCTCAACCCAAAGAATACCACTGTTTCTACCATCCTGCTACGCCAAATTTGAATTTCCGAATCATTTTTTGGAGCATGCGTTATCGGATTTCCGGTAAAAGTATCTAGTCCTTACAGGGTTTGAAAATTATTCAAGCATGTCCTACTAACCTACCGCGTGATCATCTTTAAAAGGGATTATCCACAATTTAAAGTAACCAGAGGATTCAACCAGAACAACGGCAACACCAAAGCGTAGCGAATCCCATCGAACAGAAATGGCTGGCATTTTTACAAACGAAATATATAGCAAATATCATAAAACAACACACCAGAAAGGCCACCATTTTCAAAATGGTTGATCACTAGCCAAGTTGTCATCAGAAGAAATAATATGCTTTTAAGTAGCCACATGCACTTGTAAAATAACACACATAAAAATGGTGGCCATTTTTCAAAATGGCCGACTACTCCCCAAAGTTTTATTAGACAATGTGCCATGCTTAGAGTATTCACATATCAAATATGAACAAAAAATCGCTCCACTACTTTTCGATTTATAGTAAAAAGTGTAAAAATGACAGCCATTTTTTAAAATGGCCGCCTACTATCCGAAGTGTCATGAGAGAGTGTGCAAGGCTCATGAGTATTCACATATCAAATATGAACAAAATCGCTTCACTACTTTTCAAGTTATAGTAAAAAACGTAAAAATGGTGGCTATTTTTCAAAATGGCCGCCTACTACCCAAAGTGTCATTAGACAGTGTGCCATGCTTATAGTATTCACATATAAAAAATGAAACATACCAAATATGAACAAAATCGCTGAACTACTTTTCAAGTTATAGTAAAATACGTTAAAATGGGGCCATTTTTCAAAATGGCCACCTTCTACCAAAAGTGTCATTATAGACAGTGTGCCATGCTTTTAGTATTCACATTACCAAATATAAACAAAATGGCTCCACTACTTTTCGAGTTATAGTAAAATACGTTAAAATGGCGGCCATTTTTCAAAATAGCCACCTTCTACCAAAAGTGTCATTAGACAGTGTGCCATGCTTATAGTATTCACATACCAAATATGAACAAAATCCCTTCACTACTTTTCGAGATATAGTAAAATACGTTAAAATGGTGGCCATTTTTCAAAATTTTCAAAATGGCTGCCTTCTACCAGAAGTGTCATAGGACAGTGTGCCATGCTTACAGTATTCACATACCAAATATGAACAAAATCGCTCCACTACTTTTCTAGTTATAGTAAAATACGTTAACATGGCGGCCATTTTTCAAAATGGCCGCCTTCTACCAAAAGTAGGACAGTGTGCCATGCTTATAGTATTCACACACCAAATATGAACAAAATCGCTCTACTATTTTTTGAGTTATAGCAAAAATCGTAAAATGACGAGTAAAGGCCGCCATTTTTCAAGATGGCTGCCATGTGCTTCTTTAATATCTACATTTGTAGCATTATTAATGTCCTTTATAATTCTTTTACATTTAAAACATATTGATATAACAGTTTTACATATTGCACCTAAATTACTGTAAAATCGGCACTAAAATGGCCACCATTTTGAAATGAGCAGCCATTTTGAAAATCGGCTTTCGAGCAGAACTTCTACTCCCATAGGGTATATGTGTACAAAATATGAACAAAATTGGGCCAACGGTATTTGAGTTATTGCCCGGACGGACAGACGTACGTACGGACGTCATTTGTTGTTGCTGCGGACGGAGGTATTCCCTATATCCCTCCTAACTTCGTTCGATGGGATAATAACAAAAAAGATGCATTCTAAGCTGTACGAGTTGGTGGACTAGTGGTCAAGCATGGAGTATGTATGTGTGGCGTGAGCTATATTTGGCCACATAATTTTCACCAGTATGGAATAAAGTGGCAGAAATTATAAACAACTGAAACAAATTTCACCAGTATGGAACTTGAAAAAAATCTGAACAATGGCCAAGATTGGTATCCCGTTTCAAATACTAGTAATAAAGGCACTGTTAAGGACGTGTGGGTTCGTCTTGTGTAGCATCTTGTATCTTATTAAGCTCTAATCGATCCTGCGTAATGGATGTGGTAATTTACATTATCAAAGAAAGGATGAACAGAATATATGAGCTACAGTAAACAATAAAGCATTATCGAATCCTACGACCACTTTAGATTGAGAAGAGATTTACGTTTATGATAGCAATAGCAGGGCTTGCAATTATGATCTCTCACCTTTATTTGAATTGTAAATAAGGCTCAACATGTTGAATATTTACAAATAATCATGATTCTCTCGAATTTTTGGACTTTGTTTATTTTTAGAATTGAAACCATGACAGCCCACAGTTTTTCCTATTCAGAAACAGATATTAGGTTATTCATGAAATAAAATGTATTCATTGTCGAATGAACGAACATGCATTTATTGAGTCCGTACTTAACGTTTACTTCTGTTTTAAATTCGCGGCAAGAAATCAAAAACTGAAAATATGACTAGAAATAGGGGACACACTTTTTTTCAAAGGACACACTTTTTTTTAAAAATTGCGTCCTTGGGACTCACAAATTTTCTAACCTAATGCAAGCGCTGCAATAGGTTGCGTGTAATATTTATCTTATTTAAACCGTCAAATTCCTAAATTTAGTAGTACATACGGTCCCGGCATGCACCAGTCATAAGGTTAAGGAGAATCACCCTCCAACGGGCTTCCGCCATCTTGGAAACTGCTTAATATTTCCGATTCAAAAACGATAAACCCATACAATTGGTGGTTGAAGTACATAAAAAGGATTCTTAAATACTCATGAATGTATCTAGGTAGGTCATTTAACTGATTTAAGTATGCGATGCGTAGTATTTTCTCCAACTTATTTGTAAAAACATTGACAGACCAATGATTTTATGACTGGTTACTTAGGTTATGGTTTGACGTAGCAGGACGGTAGAAACAGTGGTATTCTTTGGGTTGAGCATGAAAATATGACATAGTACGAGGGGTGATCAATAAGTAATGGACGCTTTTTTACACAGATACTTTTTATAGACCAATTCCTTTGATTTTCCTACCAGTGATACATCATTCAACCAGAACAACGGCAACGCCAAAGCGTAGCGAATCCCATCGAACAGAAATGGCTGGCATTTTTACAAACGAATAGCAAATATCATAAAAAAACACACCAGAAAGGCCACCATTTTCAAAATGGTTGCTCACTAGCCAAGTTGTCATCAGAACTCCCCAAAGTTTTATTAGACAATGTGCCATGCTTAAAGTATTCACATATCAAATATGAACAAAATCACTCCACTACTTTTCGAGTTATAGTAAAATACGTTAAAATGGCGGCCATTTTTCAAAAAATTTTCAAAATGGCCGCCTTCTACCAAAAGTAGACAGTGTGCCATGCTTATAGTATTCACACACCAAATATGAACAAAATCGCTCTACTATTTTTTGAGTTATAGCAAAAATCGTAAAATGACGAGTAAAGGCCGCCATTTTTCAAGATGGCTGCCATGTGCTTCTTTAATATCTACATTTTTGAGTTATTGCCCGGACGGACAGACGGACGGACGTACGTACGGACGGACGGACGGACGTACGTACGGACGGACGGAGGCGTTCCCTATATCCCTCCGAACTTCGTTCGATGGGATAATTATCTATCAATTCTGAAGATTTGAAGACAAAATATATAATACATGTTGATATATCCTTATTTCCGTGAAGGAGGTACCACAGGCTGGTATCGAAATATTTTTCCGCTTTGACGGAGCATGCTATTTTTCATAAAAACACTAAGAATACTTCACGATTTATTTTTTAACTCATATGTTTCGTTATACGATACAAAAGTACTTACTCCATGCAACGGATATATCATTTGCGGGTAACTTTCACTTCTGTTTGAAGTCCAATTACGCTGGGAAGAAAAGCTATTGAAAATGGCGCCGGAGTATCATACTTCAAAATGTACCATTTCTTGTTTAACTTTCTAATGGCACGATATAGTGACACGATAATATTTACACATGGTTTCAGCATAACTATGAAGGTATAAGTGAGATGTTGATGTATTTGGTCTTTTTAATTCTTTTGTAAAAAAAATGTTTATTTTTTTTGTCCGCTGTGACGGAGCAGTTGCAAATGTGAACCGTGAAAATGCTCCGTCACAGCGGACAAAAAATATTAATATTATTTTTTATAAAAAAATTAAAGACCCAAATGCATTAATATTTCATTAATACATTCAGAGTTATGCTGAAAACATATGTTAATATTATCGTGTCACTATATCATGCCATTAAAAAGTTTAAAAAAAGAAATGGTACATTTTAGAGTTTGAGACTCTGGCGCCATTTTCAATAGATTTTGC